TTTTTACTGTAGCACATATATATTCTCTCAAAGCATACAGTAGATGATTTAAGATTCCTTGATGGAGCAGAAATCTATTCAAGACGTTCTGCTATTACTACTCTTCGAGTTTAAGAATTTCATAATGCTTTTTGGTATGAAAATCCAGGTGAGTGGGTTGTCTCTGTCAGAAAAGAATAAATACTGATTATGTTATTTGAAATGTGTCAAGGAAAGCAGCTGTTTGGAAAAAAAAAAGAAAAAAGAACTCATAACACACTACATATCCTGAGATTCTAGGTTCCTCAGGAGATTCTAGGCCAAATGTCCCTTTGCTGGATGTTATCATCCATAGTTCAAATTAAAACCAGCCAGAATTAAAACTAAAAAGCCCAGTTATCCTTATTGTATCATCCACAACTGTGTCCTGCAGTTCCATCAGAGCCCTGAGTCTACCAACAGGCTCTGGAACCTCTTCCCGCCCCCGGGGGTTTGGGTGCCTGTGCTGAAGGGGAGCTGGGACCCCCCAGGGTGACAGCAAGGCACGCAGGGACAGTGACCTGGCAAGCAGGGACAGCAGTGACCTGCCCAGCCTGGCACGAGGAATGCCACAGGACTTGGACAAGAGTCGCAGAGCAGGTCCCCTGATGGTAGCCAGCGTCATCCATCGTTCAGCGATGGTCAGGCAAGTCCACAGTGATGAGGAAGGTCCGACGCCAAGCTGGGACGTCAAGTCAGCCGGCCAGGGTCAGAGAGGTACGCGGCACGCGGCTACGGCGTAGCTCCAGCGAGAAGCAAAGGTGGGTGAGCTGGGCTGAAGGCTTCTCACACAGCTCTTCTTGCAGCACCCGGTCCCAGGTTACCCGGCTGTGCCGTATCGGAACCGGTGTAGAGCCCAGGCACCCAGGCGCCTCGGGCTGGAGAAGGGCTTGCAGAGCCTGTTGGTGCACCTGGGGCCTGACGGGATCCTACGTAAGGTCAGTCAATGAATCGTTAAATGATAGTGCTTTATGGTCATGTTTATACTAAGCATGACTCGCTATAAATACTCGACATCTCCTATAGAGCTGCTCATCAGAACCAACGATGTCGTGCGGAACTCTTGTGGGGTAACCCAACATCATTGTTCTACCAACGCTGGAAGAGGTTCTGCTCTGTAAGGTCTTGGTTTTCAAAAACTGCTTCCAGCAAGCCTGGTGACTTGACCAGCGGTACCGGCTGAACTCACCCAGGCGGTCTCTCCTCTGGGGCACGGCAGGGTTTGGGACTCCTTGGGACGGTCTGTCCGGATGCAAACGCAGGCCAGGTGGACCAGTGGCCTCTAGCAGAAAGCTAAGATTGAAAGGAGAGAATCCCTTTGCTGCGTCTGAGCACTACAGACTCACAGCAAGGAGCCAAAATCGGTACAAAGAGCCAAAATCAGTACAACTGCCTATGAGTACAGTCAGACAGAAAGACAAGGGCCGTACCCCGAAACTCCTCAGCCAGGACTGACCACGCCTAAAAAGCAAGTAAACTTTTTCTGTTCTTTGAAGAAATCATCTTCCCAGACTAGTACCATTTGTTAAACGCCTCTGACCGATCTCCTGGGTGCTATTCATGCTGCCTAGATGACATGATTGTGAGAAAGCGTTCGCATCTTTGGGTGAAAAATGATTTCTTGGTCTACCCTGGGACCACTGGAAACTAAAGCATGGCACAAACAAATCCGAATTTTGCATTAAACCAGACGAAACACAAAACGACAGGTTTGACTTAGGTCTTGTTTCCACTAGGGAGTTTTTGCACTGGGGTGTGCCCTAGGAAGGGCACAGCGAGCTGCGTTAACTCATTTAGATAATGAGTTTTAAATGCGGGTTGGTGACCCTACACAAACCAGCTGGATTTGCATCAGCATAGCCCATAATGAAATAAGGTCTGAGGAACAGATTTAGGTCTGAGGAACAGTAAAAAAGAACGTGATAAATGAATTTTCCTTCAGAAACTGCAAGCTCCTCTGAAAGCAAAATCTTGTTCTTAATTTTAAGGGTCTGTTCATTTCTGTCTTGGAACTTTCTCAGTGTTTCTTTGGTGGGGAAAAAAAGCTAGCTATGCCAGATTGCTCTACTTTATCTTCATTATTACAACCAAATAATTAGTATGCGATTGTCCGATACAAATCCCTCCCTGTTCTGAATGTAAAATTTACAAAACAAATTAATCATGGGCAAACAGGAGGGTTTGACTTTCAAACCCCAAACTTCAGACTGACGAAGCCTTGGAACGGTTACACGTAAAGCCTCAGAAGTTTAACTGTCCTAATTCCAGTGCAAGAAGCAGGAAGATTACATTGGAGAAACAGTACGATTCCAATTTGCTGAGAGTTGAAAATCTTCGGGACAACGAGGAAAGTGCTTACAGAATGTCCCGGCTCTAGGGACGAAATACTACTTGGAGATCGTGCGCTAATGTAGCACATACGGCCTGTCACAGAAGTGGCACATTCCTGAAATACAGCCAAAATGGTAATGAAAAAAAAAACCCCAACAAAATAACTAACATATGACTTTTATAGACCTTAACCTCCCATTAGTTTGTTGGTATACACATTCCTGGAATTTATTTTCTCGTAATTTGGATATAGATTTTTCCCATGCTTGTTTATTTTATTTACTAAGACTGATAAATACCAGGGAGCAGATGTTCCTGTAGGATGCCCTTATCCTATGATTAAACAGCATGCAGTCATAGATTTTCTTTTTTTCTTTTTTTTTTTTTTTAAAAACTACATGGGTCAAATTCTGACCTCAGTATTTGGCAGTATGTCTACTCAAAAAGCTGCAGCCAAGAACAACATTCATATTCCTCCTCTCTTTCCTCCACCCTTAAAAAATGCAGTAATTAATTCACAAAGATGACATCTGAATCTGAAATTCAAGAGTTAGCAGCAACATATATATTTTAAATCTGTATATATTAGAAAGATTAAAATGATTAGAACTTGCTTGACTTCCTAATAGCTTGGGGTGGTCCCTGGGCTTCCAGCAAGATTCAAAGTTGACCAAGTTAGCTAAAGTTTGGATGTTTCACTGGAATTCTTCAACTCACCGGAGTCTTCCGTTTCTTGGACAGGATGTATTTCAGACGGTTGATACGTGTTTGGCAATCTGGAGCCTCAGAGGAAGAGTCGGGAGCCGTCCTGTGCAATGGCAAGAAAGAAACTTTTCATAATATAGAGAATTAACTCAATATACAGTGGAGATTGAGAGGCTGCCTCACATATACCTGAGGTAAACAGCCAAAGATGAAGTGCCCGACGCATGAAAATATCCAACAGGATAATGTACAGGGAGGGACCGATGGAAAGATGCGTGGTGCAGCTGAACTCCAGGATTTGTGTTCGATAACTGGCACGACATTTGGTACTTTCCTTACTGCGCCCACGAGAGCGACCAGGCGGAACCCTGCAGCTGGGCGAGCCTGAAGGAATTGCTCTTCTGAAGAGGAGGGTCTGGAAACAGAGCTGGGAAACCCGTTACCCGTGGGTCAGGAACCGGGATTTGGGGTCCCAGAAGTGCCCGCAAAGCCGGTTCCCTGGGGTGGCAGCGGTGCCATGGCACAGTGGCCTGACAGCAAACCATGGAACAAATAGAACCAGGAGCTCTCTTTCCTAGACTAGAAATGATGTCCAGGCTGCCTCCTGATGTCCAGGCAGTGTTAGCTCTGCCGTGCGCCGGACAACTCTCTGAGCCGTTTTCTGAGAGAAAACCTGCAGTTTAGACCGACTGAAATGATAACACGTAGGGGAGCGATTCTGCAGCTGGCAGGGACGATGGAGACGGAAACCCCAAGCAGCTGGGTCGGCTTGCCCAAGGCACCACACCTTTGGGTGAGATTCCCTGAGACACCAGGAGCTGATCGAACAGCTTACTGCTCTTAAAAAGCCACCCCATCTCCTCCTCCTAGCTGTATCTTCCCGCTGTTCACCTTGTGCTGCCACCGCTGCTCATCAGACCCCTTTACAAGCTGCTTTAAGTCACCACCTCAGCAGAAAACTAACCCAGGGTCATCTCTTAATTTTGCTTAGCTATCAGTACAATGACGTAGACAAGAGAGGATTGTACCTGGCGCGACATGCTTTGGTGGCACAGTTCCACCAGCACGCGGAAGCTCGTGCTGCGTGCCTGGCTACAGGGAGGCACGGAAAAGCACCGGCAAGTGGGAGCCATGCCTGAGACGCTCAAACTCCACTGGCCAGGGACGCTCCGGGACCAAGGAGCAGGATGAAGTGCCCTATGGGCAGAACGACAGAGTGGTTTGAAAATCTCCAGTATGTAAGAGACCATTAAACATACTGTAACTTGTGTTTTAGAATCTGAAGGGCACTTTTCATGCATTTAAACCAAGTAAGGTCCCTAGCTATCCAGAAATGCATCTTCCTCTTCTCTGCAGCTAAACTCACGACCAGTTTGATACTCCGAGTACTGAGCACTCCCTGCTTCCATTCGCTTTCATAAAAGCTGAGTGCAGTAACCATCCAAGAGCGTCTGTCTCTTTTTTTTTTCCCCCCATGGGATGGGACGTTAAGGTAACAGCAGCCTTTACAGCCACATCAGTCAGGTAGGCCATCAGTACGCTACCAGCCACAGCAGCTTTTCACCTGGAAATGGGAAGGTGCCTGTTCCCAGACAGCTACGTTAAGGGGGGGGGGAGGGAAGAAAAAAGAAGTGCCTGGAACTTTTCCCATGAGTGAAAAAGATTGTTAGCTGGGCCGTGGCACAGCCTGGATTGGGAAGCGGTGGCTTCTTCAGCATTGTGAAAGCTAGCAAAACTGAAACAAGGAAAACTTGCTTGTTTGATGAAAGGTACTTTCCAGGAGTGCAAAACATACAACTTCAATATAATAAAAGTTGCTTTTACTACACATATGTTTTCTTGAATGAATGTAGACTTCACTGTCCCTGTTGGAGCTCTCGAGCAGACAAGGCAGTGACAACATGCTTTTAGACTACCTGCGCCATGCAAGTCTGAGATCCGAAGATAAAAACCTATCTGTGGGTATAAACTTGGCCTTCACTGTGCTGGAGAGAGGCTCAAGACGCGCAGAGAAAAGTAGGTTTGGCCACGAACGCTCCAGAATTTTCCTTTCAAGGCAGCCCAGGCGGACGTCAGAGCCTCTGACCGGCCGTAGTTACCTT